ATCCCAGAGCAGACGACACCTTGCAAACCACCGTTTACATTTGTCGGAGTGGACTACTTTGGACCATTGATAGTAAAATTAGGTCGATCTAGCGTTAAAAGATATGGTTTCTGTTTTCTTGCTTGACAACGAGAGCAGTGCATATAGAAGTAGCCCATAGTTTGACAACAAATTCATTCATAGCTGCCTACCAGCGTTTTACATGCAGACGTGGACAACCAGAGAAAATGTTTAGTGACAACGGTACCCAACTTAGTTAGTGGAGACAAAGAACTTAAGAAATCCTTAGAAGAGTGGAACCAGTCTAAGATCGGCAGATATCTGTTACAGAATAAGGTAGACTGGCACTTTAATCCACCATACGCGAGCAATATGGGTGGGGCATGGGAGAGAATGATAAGATCTACACGCACCATTTTGAAAAGCTCTTGCCAAGGAACAACTTTTAACAGACGAGAAATTACTCACTTTCATCGCAGAAACAGAAAGAATTCTAAATGATAGACCAATCACTTCCGTGAGTAGCGACCCTAGAGATCTTCCAGCGCTCAACACCAAATATGCTTCTTTTAATGAAAAGTAATGCGAGTATTCCAAGAGGTGTTTTTGAAAAAGAAGATGTATACAGTAAAAAATGGTGGAAACAGATACAATATTTTGAGTGACGTATTCTGGAAAAGATGGATCAAAGAGTACTTACCTTCTCTTCAGAACCGACAAAAATGGCAGAGAGAAACAAGAAACATGAAAGTGAACGACATCGTACTTGTAGCAGACGATACCATTCCACGAGGGCAGTGGCCACTTGGCAGAGTAACTGAGGTTTTTAAGGGTAGGGATGGGCTTGTACGCAAATGCCTTGTCCGTATAAGAAATTCAAATGTCCTCAAACCAATAACAAAATTATGTCTTTTAGAAGGCACAGAGTAAATAATAGTTGCGTTAACATTTTGTCAAAATACATTTACTGATGTACAAAAGCCTTCTTTAATTTAATTTTATTTATTTATTTTTTTTTTTTTTACGCGTGGATTAGACATTTTAACAACCCAAAAAAGAATTTGATATACTATAATATGTATTGTACTTCTTGCAAGAGAATGTTCTTACCATGACTAGATGGCGGTTGTAAATTATAATAATTGCAAAATTTAAAAAATTGCAATCTTTTGATGATATTTATATTTGTGTCATGTAATACATTTTTTCAAAATAATTACGTATATATGAGTATTGGTTGTTTTTTAAATATTTATTTTATTTTCATTTACAAAAAATATTAAGTATGTAGATTTATACATTTTTTGATACATATACACAACGTTTTAGTATTAATTTTTTTTTTTTTTTACTAGTTTTTCTTCTACATTATTTTCAAATCATATATATTTGATAAGTAAATTATTGATATTTTGAGAAAACAAAAATTTGCTTAAGTGCTATTCTTATTTGATGAAATTAAGACATTTCATGGAGGGCACTGTAAGAATTATTAACATTCTTAAAATTTTAATTTGTTCACTTTTTGGCGCTAAAAAAGCTCTCGCGTCACGTTAACGTCGCCGCCTTTTTAGCGACGTCATGGACGGCAGAGTTTTCCGGAAGTTACATAAAAAGATTACAAACAAGTTTATTTTTTGAAGACATTAACGGTAGCGATATTTGATGTAAAATATTATTATTACAGTAAATATTCAGGATTGAAGAAATTAATTAAATTGACAGGACACCATTGTTGAAAAGCGCTACGCGACGCATAGCTACAATTATATGAACTTTGTAGATGTGAAATAAACGAAATTACAAGATTGCAGCGCATTTCTTACTTGGTTTTCTGAATCCTGAACATATATAGTAAAAACTTAAAAAATCATCTTCTCTAAATTGACAAAGGCTAGAGGTTAGATATTTTGCGTGAAACATTGTGTAGTGAACCTCTAGCAAGATTGAACAAATTATAGCCCTGGGGTCAAAATTGGCCCCACCCCCGGGGATCATTGATTTTTACTATGTACATATAGTAAAAAATTAAAAAATCTTATTGTCTGAAGGTACAAGGCTTAGAGCTTTGATACTTGGTATATGATATCATCTATAGGTACTCTACCAAAGTTGTTCAAATTTTGCCTCTAGTGTCAAAACTAGCCCTGCCCCGGGGTCATAGGTTTTCCTTACATGTATATAGTAAAAACTTTAAAAAATCACCTTCTCGAATTGACAAAGGCTAGAGGTGAGACAATTGCAGTAAACATTGTGTAGTGAACCTTTAGCAAGATTATTCAAATTAAAGCCCTTGGGTCAAAACAAAAAAAATGTGTTCCTACATTACTATTTTAGTGTGGCATAGCATTTTTTACAAATGCAATCTTGTTACATTACATGCAAATATTCTTCTTTTACAATATAAAACGGATTTGTCTAAATCCATAGAAAATAAAATGAGACGTACCTTTTAGTTGTTTACCTTCCTCCATATTGGATGGAAGCACCGTATCACGGAAAATCTGCAACGTTTCACGTACCCGACAGTGTTTTTACGCATTTGGACCTTAAATATATTGATGAAATATGATCAAAGCCTAATTATAATTCTGTGAGAATGGCTTGACCCATTTAACAGACATTCTTTCATAATTATTACTGTGAAAAATTTTCTTGACGTTTCTTTGACAAGTCGTATAGGTGAGATATATAAATCCCGATAGAATATTAACTAACATATTAACTTTATTAGCGGCGTATTTCAAGACCACGCAGAATTTTTTTGGGGGCAGATTTTTTTTTTTTTTTTCATTTTCCCAAAATACGGAGTAAACCGAAATATCAAAAAATAATGGCCTAAGTAGAAGTGCAGTGCAAAAGGACCTAACTCTGCCTTGCCACTTTTTGGAGTTATTGCCCTTTTTATACCACTGCAGCATTTGCAATGCATAGCGACTCCCCTGTGTGTTTATGTGTATGTATGTATGTATGTATGTATGTATGTATGTATGTATGTATGTATGTATGTATGGATGGATGGATGTGATGTGATGTAGTGAACTTATAAAATCTAGTTATGAAAAACCAGTCTAGTCCAATTTCGACCAAACTTTCTGGTTGCCATGGCAACCAAAAGGAATTATAAGAATAAATTTAAATAACAAAATCATGACAACTTAACCAAAATTAAAAACTTTGACCTTTGACCTTGGTCATTTAAAGATCAAGGTCCGTTCAATTTTTAGAAGGTCTCCTCCAAAAGGTTGTTTTGTGCAAGTAAGAAAATAAGACATTGATAAATTACAAAGTTACAGCAAATTATAGCGATTATCAGTGAAAATAAAATAATTGAACTTTAAGGTCAAGGTCATACATGAGACAAGGTCAACTTGAATTTGATATACATGAACGTCCTGAACTGAAAGATGTGTCTTAATAAAAAGTTTATCCATTTATAAATTAACAAAGTTGTAGGGAATTCATGGGAATGTCTCCATTACTGAAACCAGTAGTTTTTTCTTTGAAAAAAAAAGTGGAGCTAAAAATGACTTCATAACTTGAATCTAGATGCATTACGAAACAAGAGCCGATCTTAACTGGTGATGCTCCCCGAATAGGTTTTGGACACAGAAAAGTACACCTCTTGTAGTTTCAGAGCTATATCACAAATATAAAGTCCAATAATTCCAAAGTTAGGTAAGGCAGAGTTACTGTTCTTTGCACTGCACTTCTACTCAATAAGATCTATCTACCAACTTTTAAGTTTCTTGTTGATACCTCTTGTAGATTTACGATATACGGTAATGTCCCGGACAAAGTTCACAGTGTAAAATTGAACAAGATAGCATTTGTGAAAAATGCTACGCCACCCCATTAATACAACATTAAATAGCAGTCAAGTCAAGTCAAATAATTTATTGGCAAAAACATATACATGTTCATTGGCAAAAACATATACATGTTCATCGCCAAGTAACATTTTGGCGGTACATACACAGTACAGAAAAGTAAGATACATGCATTATAAATTAAACATTATAGATTTTACATATACATATTTCAGTGTACATTAATTCAAACAAATGTATCTTAGTAGTGTATAAGGAACAGATTTTTCTTTTGTATCTATACAATTGAACGTGGTGAAATTGTTATTGCATCCTCAAATCTGATAATAAGAATTAGATAGGTCAGGGATCTATGCATTATGGCAATATACTTCATTCCTAATTCCTGTCACATCAATACTTGGTTGTTTAAAACCTGGTTTTTGTTGCTCTGTTAACCCTTCTTGTTTTGTGAAATATATGAGTTTTTGGTACAAGTTTTAGAATGAATAAACTTAAAGGAAGTCTTCTGCCAATAAAAAGTCTAAAACATAAAATTTGAGACTATCTTACATCAACTGGAGAACTTAAAAGATATGCAAAAAATAATAAAGACATGTATAAATGTAAATAACATGTACTCAGAATTAAATTGAAAATGTATTTTCATGCTATTCATCGCACATTTTGAGTTATAAGCATTTAAATGATTTTTATTTTTGTGATATTTCTCATAATTGAAATACATGTATTTATTCCGGTAAAATGAAGTGAGCCATTGCTCTTAAATGTTACACAGTTAATGGCCCAGACAAATTACTTCAACAAATTTATCCTGAAAGATGATTTAGATGATGAATTTTGTTTTTGCTTTCAGCCAAAATCTATTACTACTGTTATGTTATTTCTGGATAAAAAATTGTTTAAGTTACTCATCTCCTGTCATGCTTCATGATACAGATAGAGAGAGGGCTTTCATTTAGGCCTTGTCTTAGAAAACAATTGTTTTAATAGATTTGATACCCCAAAGATAGTATCTATAAAATGTCTGAAGTACATTAATAATATTCATTTTTGTTTATTTTTGAAAGTTCCTTTTATGTCTGGAACACCAAACATTAAAATATTGATTCATCTATGAATTTTGGAAATAAAAGCGTCTGAAATATACTCTTATTTTCCTTCTATAAGTGTTGCAGTGTCAGCTAAACAGTCAGACAATTCTGTTACAATGGCAATACAATCAATGGTCCGCAATATTCTTGAGAAACGTAACATTCCACGAAAATGGAAGGCTGTACCAGAAAAAGTGAAGCCACCTAAGAAAGACAGACCGTTCATATATGACAAGCTGGAGAAAACTGACATTGAAAAGGTGATTTATAATTAAATCTTATATCAAAGTGTGCCCTTAATTTTGTCAGTATTACTACCTGATTTATATTTTTTTACTTGACTATATGAGGAAAAGAGAGAGCTAATGTACTCACCCTGGTGTTGTCAGTGTCACACTTTGGTTAAGATGGTATCTTCAAAACTACTGAATGGGTTAAAACTTCACACACTTATTCAAGAGCATTATAGAAGGCCACTCTCTAAGGCCCATTACTCTAACATGGAATTTGACATCATAATGACCCTTTTTTGAATAAGAAAATTGTACATTATTCTGTCCCTTATTTTACTATGAAGTGTTGACAGCTATTGTTTTTAATTACTTTTTATCATCTGTCTCTCCTCATTTACTATATCAGTATCTCATATAAAAACAGAATCAGGTTAAATTTTAATATTGCTAAACAAGATAGCCAGCTTTACTTGAATTATTTCTTGGCTTCTAAGCATAGTTTTTGACAGTCACTGAAAGTTATTTTGTTCTATTAATCATTTGACAGAATATTTAGCTACCCAAGGTCAGTAGTTCTACTGGATGGCATCACAGGTATTCATCCACAAGAAAAGCTGTGGAAAATTGCCATATCATATTTACAGGGTTGGTGTGACTTAAAACCCAAAAATGATTGTTCATTTGTGTAAGGCAGTTTTCTTGTATAATTTAAATTCATGCTATAATAAATATGATAAACATGTGTTTGGTTGAATCAAAATCTAGGTGTTCCGAATGTACAAGTACAATAGGTTGGAAATTGTTGGATATGATAAGGTAAAGTATCTTGCTCCTCTATCCTTGTACAGACTATAGTATAATTATACAATATGTGTAGAAATGTTTGTGTGTTAGAAACTAGATTGAAACTTTTAATTTGAAATGTAGAAGAATTATAAGGGTTTTTTTTTTCTAAGTGTTTATAATTATCTATATTTGTAATAAATATTTCAAACATTTGAAAAAAGGAGTATTTCATTTTGAAATTTTAATTCAAAGAGAAATTAGGAATTAATTTCAGTGTATTATAAGTTTAGAGAATTACATTACAAGAATTATTGTACAAGAATTATAGGATTTTCAAATATGTAAGTCAGTTTTGAACGTTTGATAAATAAGTCACATTGTTCTTTTTTTAAAGGATATTAAGTAAAGCAGTGCACCTTTAGATGAGTTCAAAAAGTTAATATATATATATATATTAATATATATATATATATTTTCATATCATGAAAAATGTTTGAAAATTTTACATTGTAATTGATAATCCAAACTTACATTTTAATATCACAGTTCTTATTTTACTTGGAGAGAAGCCATGCTTGTTTTGAAAAATATCTGGCTTATAAGAGGCATTGGTCTATATTGCTAGCCTATTTAAGTGACTAAGGCAGGTTAATTACCAGCTCTTAAGTGGCTAAGCCAGGTAATAAATTTGCCTATTTAAGTGGCTAAGGCTGAAGAAGAAAAAAAAAAAAACCAGCTCTTAAGTGACTAAGGCTGGTTTTGCTCTTAAGTGACTAAGTCTGGTTAATTACAAGCTCTTAAGTGGCTAAGGAAGTTAAACAACTTGCGTTTTTAAGTGGCTAAGACTGAAAAATTACCAGTTCTTTAGTGACTAAGGCAGGTTAATTTCCAGCTCTTAAGTGGCTAAGCCAGGTAATAAATTTGCCTATTTAAGTGGCTAAGGCTCAGGAAAAAAAAAACAAGCTCTTAAGTGACTAAGGCTAGTTAATTACCAGCTCTTAAGTGGCTAAGGCAGTTAAACAACTTGCCTATTTAAGTGGCTAAGACTGAAGAAGAAGAAAATTATCATCTCTTAAGTGGCTAAGGCCTTAGCTTATAAGTGGTTTAAACTGGTAAATTACTGGCTTGTAAGTGGATTACACTGGTAATTACTAGCTTATAAGTGATTTTACTTATAAATTACTGGCTAAAAAAGTAACTAATACTGGTAAATTAATAGCTTATAAGTGGTTTTATTTATAAATTACTGGCTTATAAGTAGCTTACACTGGTTTATAAGTGGGATAGGCTGGTACTTTACTAGCTTATAAGTGGCTTATACCGGCAATTTACTAGCTTATAAGTGGATTACACTGGTAAATTTCTAGCTTATAAGTGGTGTATATTGTAAATTACTGGCTAATAAGTGGCTTAGGTTGGTTAATTACTGGTTAATAAGTGGCTTTGGCTAGCTTCAATAACTATTTTGTTACTTTCTATTCACAAAAATATTTCTACTAAGAACAACTTAAAATTTCATAAACCATTAAATGATATTTGAGACAGTTGTGATATTTGGGACAAAAACAAATCTATATCTACACATATTTATAAATACAGAAAAAATAACCTTCCCTTATATACCTTATTAACAAGCCTTAGATAACCTGACAGTGCTGCAAACTATTCTGTTTTCTTTTCTTTTATGTATACTTTTGCCACCCTTTATTGTAGCTGTAGATTTTCTGTTTCTGTGAGAATTGAGCTGTCTAATTGTGGAAAATGATAATATTGCCTTCCAGGGATTTTTTCCTTGAATTTTCAAAACAACCTGTGACTTCCTAGAGGGAAAATATTGTGCTAAAAAGGGAAAGTCTAAAATGTAAAAACCAATAACTGAGAAGGCAACATAGTCACATATTTAAAGGCACATTGCGCCTCAGAAACAAATTTTTACTTCTCAAGAAAACATGTATTTTATAATGTTTAGATAATGGTTTTAGGGAATATTAAATGCTTGTTCCCTGAAGAAATAAGCAATAAATGTGAAGTAAATTGTAGTAAAAGTAGCAAAATGTAAACAAAGTAGTATTTTGACTTCCATACAAAATACAAATTCACTATAACTATACTTATTGCCAAAAAGCAACAGATGAAAAAGATGGTTTAGGTAGATGGCCAATGAGTATCATACTATAAAAGTACACCAAAATTAAAAAGTTTTTGAGAAATAAAATAAAAGCATTTCTTAGGCATAATGGGCCTTAAATCAAATTCTCATTTTAATTTTTTTTTGCTAGGGAAAATCACATCAAATGAACTCCTTCCCAGGCTAAATAATAATTAGTCCCCTACCGGTTTAACCGGAGGGGACTTTAGGTTTACCCTCCGTCCGTCTGTCCGTCTGTCTGTCTGTCCGTCTGTCTGTCCGTCTGTCTGTCAGTCTGTCAGTCCGTCAGTCCGTCCGTCCACAAAACTGGATCCCGCGATAACGCAAAAAGTACTGAAAATATTTTTATGAAACTTGATATATGGATAGATGGCAGTATGGAGATTATGCACGTCTTTTTTTTTTCTTCCTATGTTGAAAATTCTGGTTGCTATGGCAACAAATAGTCTGAAAATATGGCAAATTTAACACATAAACTGGATCCAGTGATAACTCAAAAAGTACTGAAAATATTTTTATGAAACTTGAAATATGTGTAGATGGCAGTCTGGAGATTATGCACATCTTTTTCTTTTCTTCCTATGTTGAAAATTCTGGTTGCTATGGCAACAAATAGCCTGAATTTCAAGATTTCTGATTTAAATTTTTCAGCTTTTTCACTATATGTTCTTTATTTCTTAAGGTGTTTACTTCAAACTTTAAATTTAAGTTTCTGGTCATCAACCACATCATATGTGACAAGGTTTATAACTCTAGCACAAAAAATATCAGTATTACCTCCCTTGAACTTAGATTTTTTAGGGGAAAAAATGTTGTCTTTTTTAAATAACTTCTTTATTTCCTAATGTATCTACTTCAAACTTCATATATATGTTTCTTATTATCAATCAACATTTTTGAGAAGGTTAAATACTCTAGCAAGACTATTTCCAGAATTATGTCCCCCTTGAACTTAGATTTTTTTCGAGAAACTGGTATTTTCACTCCAACTTCTTCATTCCTTATAGGATTTACTTTAAAATCCCACATCGTAATAATATGACAAGGTTGTATAAACATAATTTCCTTACTAAGCATGGAAACTTCACACATTACTGTGATATAGACAAACTTATTTTATTATGTTTTGTGGTTGATATTTTCAAATACAGACTTCATCCTCAAATTCATTATAAATGGCAATACACAGGAGTGTATGACAATTAAAGAACTTTTTGAGGGACCGGTAGGGGACTCCTGTATTGCCCGCAATACTATCAAATGCTTGTTGTATTAGATGTTTATGATACAATATAGATGTAAAGGCTTCTTTATACATGAATACTGTAGAATGTGTAAACTCTAACCTTGCTGAAGTTGTTTGACGTTCTTTTTGGGAGATTTCAAAATTGACATTATAATGTATGTAATGTACAGCCAACATTATGTAGCTTAGATATATTTAACTTATATCCAGGCACCCTACCTTTTTAGCTCACCTGACCACAAAGTGGTCAAGGTGAGATATAGTGATGGGGATATGTCCGGTGTCTGGCGTCATCTCATTGAGTAGATATGCAGTGCACAAGAATCATAACTCTGCCATCCCTAATTTTGGAGTTATTGCCCTTAATTAATTTTTACACTTTGAACTTTGTCCGGGACATAACTCTAAAACTATAAGAGATATCAACATGAAACTTTGTAGGTAGATAGATCTCATTGGGTGGAAGTGCATTGTTAAAGAACCATAATTCTGTCTTGCCTAATTTTGGAGTTATTGCCCTTTGTGCATTTGTACACTTTGAACTTCGTCCCGGACATAACTCTAAAACTGTAAGAGATATCAACATGAAACTTTGTAGGTAGATAGGTCTCATTGGGTGGAAGTGCAGTGTTAAAGATTCATATCTCTGCCTGGCCTAATTTGGAGTAATTGCCCTTTGTTTATTATTACACTTTGAACTTTGTCCGGGACATAACTCTAAAACAATAAGAGATGTCAACATGAAACTTTGTAAGTAGATAGATCTCATGGGATGTAATTGTAGTGCTAAAGAACCTCAACTCTGCCTTGCCTAATTTTGGAGTTATTGCCTTTTGTTCATTTTTACTTTTAAACATTTGTCCAAGACATAAATCTTAAACCATTAGAGATTTCAACATGAAACTTCACAGATAGATTGATCTAATTGAATAGAAGTGCAGTGCAAAATAGCCATAACTCAGCCTTACCTAATTTTGAAGTTATTGCCCTTTGATAATTTTTTTCACTTTGAACTTTGTCCGAGACTTAGCTCTGAAACCAGAGGTTTGTAGGTAGATTGACCTTATTAAAAAGAAGTGCAGAGCAAAAGAACGTTAACTCTGCCTTGCTTAATTTTGGAGTTATTGCTCTTTGTTCATTTTTACACTTTGAACACTCTAGTGGCTGCAGTTTTCATCCAAATTTTCTGGAAATTGGTCAAGAAGGTTTTTTGATGATTTCTAGGTCAAGTTCGAATATGGGTTATCTCTGGTCAAAAACTAGGTCACAGGAGCTAAAAATAGAAACATCTTGTGAACACACTTATGGCTGCAGTTTTGATCCAAATATTCTGGAAATTGGTCAGGAAGGTTTTGATGATTCCTAGGTCAAGTTCTAATATGGGTCATCTCCAGCCAAAAAAAGGGTCACAGGAGCTAAAAAATAGAAAAATCTTGTTAACACTCTAGTGGCTGCAGTTTTGATAAAAATATTCTGGAAATTAGCCAAGAAGGTTGTTTTGATAACTTCTAGGTCAGCTTTTAATATGGGTTGTCTCAGTTTGAAAACTAGGTCACAGGAGCTAAAAATAGAAAAATATTTTTAACACTCTAGTAGCTACTGTTTTGATCCAAATATCCTGGAAATTGACCTGAA